CCTCAAGGGGAGCCTCTAAGGAAACCTCTAAGGAAACCTCTGAGGAGCCTCCAAGGAAAATTGTAAGGCAGCCTCGAAGGAACCTCTCAGGAAGCCTCTAAGGAGCCTCGAAGGAAACCTCAAGGGGAGCCTCTAAGGAAACCTCTAAGGAAGCCTCTAAGGAGCCTCAACGGAAGCCTCGAAGGAAAACTCTAAAGAGCCTCGACGGAAACCTCGAAGGAACCAAAGGAAACCTCTAGGGAGCCTCAAAGAAGCCTCGAAGGAGCCTCGAAAGAAACATCGAAGGAAACCTCTACGGAGCCTCTTAGGAGCCTCCACGGAGCCTCCAAGCAGCCTCCAAGGAACCTTAAGATGCCTCTAAGGCAACCTCTAAGGAGCCTTTAAAGAGCCTCTAAGAAGCCCCCAATGAGCCTCCAAGGAGTCCCAGTAAGGAATATCTAGGAAACCTTCCGAATAACTTCTAGCACCTTATCCCCCCTTCAATCCAGGAGTGGGGTCCGGTTCCGACACCCCCCCCCCAAGCGCCCACAGAACGCGTTCGTTCCACCCTCTTGACCCTAACCCTACAGACCATATAAACCCTAGAGACCCTGACCATAAAGACTCTAACCCTACAGACCTTACTAATCCCACAGACCCTAACGCTGCAGGCTCTGACCGTACAGACCCTAACCCTGAACACTCTAACCCTACAGACCCTAACCCTACATACCCTAACCCTACAAACCCCCACCCTACATACCCTAACCCTACAAACCCAACCCTACAGACCCCACTAAACCTACATTCCCCAATCCTACAGACCCTAAACCTACAGACCCTGACCTACGTCGACATCCCCATCATGATCTGATGAATTCGAGGACCCCTCCGAAGGTATTTTTAGGGGGCTGTCTCGAGCGAAACGCTTACGTTTAAACATAAGTGGTACGAACCATGCGTTGTTTTCAACACCTTCGCTCATTAGGCCATCTTGGGTCTCAAACCAGCTCTTGGCGCATCCCGTGTTTCCAAAGATGTCGCAGGCGAAACTACAATATTTGAAGTTCCGAAAATTCAGCCAGCGATCTCAACATCCCCATTATCCGAGCATGTCTCGGGCGGAACACTATACGACCCCACATATCGCGAGCTGGAGAAGATGTCTCAGATTTCGCCCGAGACATCCCCGTTGCGCGAGAATGTCTCTGGCAAAATGCTCATCTGTTGCATAAGACGTCTTACACGATAGCCTCCAAGATGGTCCCAAGACGGCCCAAGAAACCCGTAGAGGGCCTCATGACGGCCCAAGACGGCCAAAAGGGGCCCCAAAGAAGGTCCAAGTGGCCCCGAAAGAGGGGCCCAAGATGGCCCCACGGCGGCCGCGAGAGGCCCGCTGGACGGCCTCCCAATAAGGCGAAATGGCGCAAACGCGCCCCAAGACGGCACAAGACGCCCCAAGCGGCTCCCAAGAGGCCCTCAGGAAGCCCATCAGCCGGCCCCCACGAGGCTTCCAAGAGGCCCGCACGAGGCTCCCAGGAGGTCCTAAGATACCACCAAAAGGCCCGCGGAATTGTATAAGAATGGCACGTTGTTGCTATGCTCATCGGAGCTTGAACTTGGCGTTGCCTTCTGCCTCTGAAGGGACCGCGCGGCCCAAGAGAGCCCCAAAACGGACCAAGACGCGCCAAAGGGGCCGAAAGACCCAAGAGGATTCCAAGAAACCCCGGCGAGGCCCTGAGGAAGCCTCCCAAAGGCCCCCCCCACAGGCGCCCAGGACTCCCCGCAACGACTGGGCTGCACGTAATCTCCGCCTGCGCACTGTACACATCGATTGGAATCTTGGCCCAAGACGCCCCAAAAAGCCGCGAGAGGCCCCAAACAAGCCCCCAGGATGCCCCAATACGCTCTCAAGAGGCTTCCAAGATGCCCCAAGAGGCTCCCATCAAGCCCCACAACGACTGGACAGCATGTGCTCCGGACGTGCACCCCGCGAAGCGAGAAGAATCACCAAAACAGCTTCGACGGCCAAGTTGTAAGGAGTTCCGGCCCCTAGAGGCCGCCACGGGCCGCCGAGATAATCAAAAACGGCTCAGGGCAAAAACGGCCATGGGAGCCCGAAGCCGAGGAACATGTCCCGAAGATCGATCCTCGAGGCTCGAGACGACGACGAAGCAGACGACGTGCAGGCCCGCCAGCGTCAGCGACCAGCCCCCCTGGCACCCAATCGGAAGGGGCCCGCGCATCGAGGAGGATGAAGAGCAGGAGGTCGAGGAAGAGGGAGGGAAGGAGGGAGGGAGGACGAGGAAGAGAAGGAGAAGGGGAATATCGATGAGGAGGTTGAAGGGGAGGCGAGGGAGGAGGAGGAAGATGAGGAGGAGAAAAAGAGGAGGAGGGGAAGAAAGAGGAGGAGGAGGCGGAGGAGGAGGATCAGGAGGGTGAGGAGGAAAAGGAAGAGGAGGGCGAGAAAGGCGAGGAGACAGAGGATGAGGGAGATAAGGACGAGGACGAAGTGAGGATAGATACGAAGAGGGTGTCGCGCGCGATGTGTCGGAGGAAGGCGAGCCTCGTGCGCTTCGACAGTCCGAACTTTTCCTTGCCGCTGAATGCCAACAGCGATCGCCAGAACACTGAACCGAGCCTGGGGTTACGGGCGGCCGCGAGTGCCACAACATTGCGAGCAGCTGCTGCCCAAGGCTTGTAGCTCCTAGAGAGGCAAGCTGCTGCGCCGAACGCTGTCTTCCGAAGGCATCGCTGCATCCGTGTCGTCTCTTCCCCAAATAGCCCTCCTAGTGCAACCCCAGCACGTCCGAGGTGTTTCACGCAGAAGTTCAACTACCGGGTCCCGTCGCTCGCACACCCATGGCCAACCTTCACTCCAAACTTCTCCAAATGTTCCCTCTTTGGGGTCCTGTCGCCCACATCATGAGCGCGGATATGGAGGCCACTGGTCCGCTTAGCCTCCGCCGAAGCACCTGTGATATTCAATCATAGGAGAGACTTTCTGCGTCGGCGGCCAGGCAGAGTAACTGCGCCGGCGCAAAAGCTACATGAACGGGGACACCGTTGAGCGAAGCGTGCCACACTGCAGGAAAAGGGGCAGATGACAAGGAGGGCGGCCGCAGGAGGGCGGAGGGTCCGCCCGGGCGAAAGGGGGGGATCGCAAAGGGGGGGTTTGAGAACCAGCTTGCGTAGCTGATTTTCCCGGCGCCTCCTGGCGCCGGGAAGCGCCCATGTATCGAGAAATGGACACGGCGGCGGGGCCGAAACCAGCTGCATGCAGCAGATTTCGTAGCCTCCCTTTCCCTATCCCCCCCTTCCGTTCGGGCCGAGAGGGGCGAGGGCCGCTAAGGGGGACGGGCCGCGCCCGAAACTGGTGGAGCGGCCAGCCCCGCCGGCGGGGACTGCGGCAGCTGCTGCGCCCCTTGTCGGCCGTCTTCAACTTCTCCCTTGGGCAGCTTGGATGCCTCATTTGGGGTCTATGTGGCCGCTTTTGTGGCTGATGTTCCCCAGCGCGTCAAGCATCATGCTTGCGGTGGCAACACCGGGCACAACATCATGGTCGACGTCATGCCCCCGATGAGCCGCGCAATGCCGGGTCCTGTGGGAGTATCAAGCGTGACATTGGTGAAACGTTCTGCTCTTAGTGAGACTGCGCCGCAGAAGCCTTGGCATAGTTCATCCAAGGCTGGTTTGGACAATTCAGCTGCTGCTTCCACCTGGAGGAGGGAGGAGGAAGAGGGTCGGAAGCCAGAACACTGGAATTCTGGAAGTCTCAATCGGCTGTCCCGTGTAAGCGCCGAAAGCTGGGAGATAGCAGCGCCATGAACAAAGGGGTATGCGCTGCAACCTCCCGCCCCGCTCATCTTACCTAGGTCCTCGGACCCCACCGCAGATACCCTTGTCCTTGCTGGACAAATGGGACAGCAACTCGATTAGGTGCATGGGGAGGTACTGTAGCGCGGGAGGTAACAGTGAGGGAAGCATAGCCTACAGGCGGACACGGGCTTTTTAAAATGGGCGCCCAGGAACAAATACTGGTGAAACAGATGCATACGTGTGTGGGAATGTGTGGTGTGTGTGTGTGTGCGTGTGCGTGCGCGTGCGTGTGTGTGCGTGTGCGTGTGCGTGTGCGTGTGCGTGTGCGTGTGCGTGTGCGTGTGCGTGTGCGTGTGCGTGTGCGTGTGCGTGTGCGTGTGCGTGTGCGTGCGTGTGCGTGTGCGTGTGCGTGTGCGTGTGCGTGTGCGTGTGCGTGTGCGTGTGCGTGTGCGTGTGCGTGTGCGTGTGCGTGTGCGTGTGCGTGTGCGTGTGCGTGTGTGCGTGTGTGCGTGTGTGCGTGTGCGTGTGCGTGTGCGTGTGCGTGTGCGTGTGCGTGTGTGTGTGTGTGTGTGCGGGTGCGTGCGTGCGTGCGTGCGTGCGCGTGCGCCTGCGCGTGTGCGTGTGCGTGTGCGTGTGCGTGTGCGTGTGCGTGTGCGTGTGCGTGTGCGTGTGCTCGTGCGTGTGCGTGTGCGTGTGCGTGTGCGTGTGTGTGTGTGTGTGTGTGCATGCGTGCGTGCGTGCGTGCGTGCGTGCGTGCGTGCGTGCGTGCGCGCACGGCGTGCGTGCGTGTGTGTGTGTGTGTGTGTGTGTTGGCGTGGGTGTGTGTAGGTGTGTGTATGTGCGTGTATTCGGAGGTGCCCACGCCCCCCAAAAAAACGAGGGCCACTAGTGTAAGATGGGACTCGCAAGATCGGACAAGCCTATGTCGTGGCCATTCTGGGGCACGGTGTCAGCGAGAACGGGCACGAATAGGTTCTTCAGTTTGTTGGCGCAGGTGGTCGCCGACCGTGCAGCAGCCAGCCAGTGCAATAGTGCACCACCTTGCCCCGCCACAGCTCCCCGTCGCCTATTGATATAGCAATCGCTCGCTTGATCCTGCTGGTGTACGACGTAGGCGGTAGAAATGCTTGCAGCAACTCCTCCATGTAGGTCAACTTCTGGGATGGCGGCTCCTCGCCAGAAAGGAAGTAAGATCGTCCTCGATGGGCCGCGCGAAGTGCGACCTAAATCCATTCATAGAACTCGGACCGCGCAGGCTGATCAATACATGTATGATGAACAACACCCAGTTCCTCCAGGGAAGAAAAAACATACGTGAACATGTTTGCAACATTGTGCGCCTGGCACTTCGCTCGAATGGAAGCTGGTTCGATTGCTCTCTCGGCATTCTCGACGGCCCCATCTCCGTCTGCCATTGGAAAGCGTTGGCGACGTTCGAACAGCTGCGCAACTTCATCTTCCTGAGGCCATCGGCATTCGCCCAAACAATTTACGTAACGCTCGACAGTGCCGCGCGCCTTGGATTGGAGGCAACAGGTAATGCCAAACGACACCATCAGATGCAGACCGGTTTTCCGAAATAACATCGCGCTCCCCGCTGGTCTGTACTATTTTGGTGGAGTGCGTGCGCTGCAGAGCACCAGCGCTGACAATGTGAGAACTAGCCTGCGCTACTGCATCACCGCATGCACGAAACAACACGTATGCGCCTTGACGCTCCGGTCGTCTAGCTCATTGCTTGGTCTCGTCGTAATCCAAACCCTCGTAAATATGGACGCCTCCTAACCCAACCTTTCCTGTTCGGTGCAGTGTATGTACTCATGTAGTGCGCTGCCCTGCGCTCAGTCGCAAGTCGAGCAATCGCACTGCGCTCTTCTAGTCTCGAGAAGTTGGTGCACGACACGTTTAAGCCCTCTGCCTCAGCGGTCTTGTCTTTCCCCCAAGAAGAACGGTCGCGTCAACAGGCGTCATTGGCGAAACCAGCATGGGTGCTGGCCCAGCACCGCCGTCAACCCGCTCGCGACGGCTCTCGCTGCGGGCCGCGTCCGTAGACGAGCCGCAAGGCCGCGAACCGACACCGCGAGCGCCCGGCGGGGGCCTCGCCTGCAGCGCCCAGGCCGGGCTCCGCGCCGGCAGCCGCTCCAGCTAGCCCCGCGAGCGCCCCCGCCAGGCCGGCAACGTCGCCCCGGACCTCGCCGCCAGCCGCCGCGCTCGCCTCCAGGCCCACCCCACCAGCCGACGCGGCCACCGGCCCTGGCTCTCCTGAGCCAGGGCTGGGGAATCGAGCTCCTCTGCCAGGCCGGCGACGCCACCCGCGGCTCTGGGACCAGCCGCTGCGCCCGCCGCGCCCGCCGCGCAGGCCAGCGCCTCGAACGCGGCCACGACCTCGGCGACGCCCGTGGCTGTGCCGGCCATCGCCGGGCCCGGCCAGGCCGCATGCGCTGACGAACTGCCGCCGCGGGCCCACCGCCGCGCCTGCGGCCTCCTCGGCCGCCGTGCCAGCAGGCCCCGCCGCGTCGTCGTCCGCCGCGGCGTCGTCGTCGGCCGTTCGCCCGAGCTCCTCCACGGGTACTGCTGCCCGTCCGCGGGCGAGAGCGGCGGCCGCCTCGTCGGCGGAGAGGCGGGGCAGGCAAGCATGCACCATGCACGCGGCCCTCCGCCAGAGCTGCACAGTTATGGCGCCGCGCGCCTGCCGCAGCAGCGGCTCGCCCATCGCGAAGATCTGCCGCCGCGCCGCCGCCGAAGCCATCGTGCTGTCACGGGTTGTCACAGGGGCTGCGTTGAAATAGCCTGCACTGAACGCGAAAGAACGAAATCAAAGGTGAGGGCGACGACGACAGAGGCTATGGCACGTGTGCGGGCACGGGCTGGGGGTGGGCTGAGGGGGGAACAAGAAGAGAAAAGAGGGAGGGAATGAGGGCAGCAACCGTAAACGCTGCGGGCGTATGGGCACGAGGATGATCCTACAAGTCCCACCGACCCTATGGGCGTAGGTGGTTGAAAAAAATGTCGTCTTGCCTCTGCCACAGTCGGGGGCGCGCAAACATTGGATTAGCGATCCATGGATTTGGCGCGCGGTCGCCAAATCCATGGATTGGGGGAGGTGCCCTCCCCAAAATGCGGCTGGTGCCGCCTCGCTCGGCGGCGGAAATCCGCAATTTCCCATGGACACGGGACCCGTCGCTAACCCACGCCCCCTTGATCCATGTTTGCGATCGCCTGAACCAACCCTCTGTGCGTAGGTGGCTCAAACGAAACTGTCGTCTTGCCACAGCCCTCGTCTCCCCCTGCTCAGGGGACGGGTTTGCCCCCCCCTGCCCCCTCCTCTGGGCCTGGCGGGGGGCGGGGAGGCGTAGAGCGTCCAAGATGGCCCAAGATTTAGGTCGGGCCTGCCCCCCCACAGGAGGATTTTGGACGGAAGAGAATATAGTCAAACTATACTCCCCAATTCATCATAAATTCCATAAAAGTTTCCGTCCCCAGACTATTGTTGTACTATTTTGAATGTTCCTCCTTAAGAGGGACAGGCCCGACTTAACCCAAGATGGATCAAACCAGGCCTCAGAGAGCCCAGGATAGCCTCCAAGATGGCCCACGATACTTCACAAAATGGCCCGAGATAGCCTCCGACATGCCTCCGGAAGGTTTCATGACAGCCCAAGGTGCCTTTCGGGCTTTTCAGGGCCCCCTCCCCAACGCCAGGCCAACCTCCTTCAAACCATGAACAGTCAGTGTGCCTTTGTATCCTCGCCGTGGCGCTTCCGATGGGCCTCAGATGTCTCAAGACGGCCCCAGGATGTCTCTCAAGAGAGCCCCAAGCGAGGCCCAAGACGGCCCCAAGAGCGCCCAACAACGCTCCAAGAACGTCCCAAGCAGGCCCCAATACGCAATTTGTTGGGCCTCCGGGGAGAGGATCTGAATTGAGGACCCTCTTCGTGTTGAGCCATGGGGGCCACGACGGCCCCGCGAGATCTTCCAGGCACCCCCCCAAGGCCCCAAGGAGGGCCCCAAGAGGGCGCCGATCGGACCAGACTTCTTTTTTTGGCGGTGCGCACAAGGGGGTGGAGGGAGGGGGAGGGCTTCTTCGAAGGAGGCTGCTTCTTAGAAGGCGCCAGCCTTACATCTACAGAGGAGGCCCGCGCCTTCTAAGAAGCAGGGGTGCTTCTGTTTAAGGAGCCCTTCCCCCTCCCCCCACCCCCCTCTGCGCGTGGCTGATTTTGTCCCCAACACCCGAGCGCCGATGCACTGTAAGCCGACACCAGGCGCCACGCAGGCGGCGCGCCCTTGCGCGCCGCAGGCCCCCGCGGGCGGCGGCGGCGGCGGCGGCCTTCGGCCCCGCCCTGGCCAGAGGCCCGAGGGCGCCTCTGTACGCGGCACGCTCGAGGCGGCCGGTGGCCGCTCGAGCCCTCGCTTCTGGAGGGCGGCGGCCGGCCGGCGCGCTGAAGACATGCAGTTGGATAGCAGGTCGCCCTCAATCTGCCGCGGCGGGGCCACGGGGAGGGGGCACGAATGTGAGTGCGACTAGGAGGCGGCGTCTCACTAAAAGATGCCTTCCTGCACGTGCGAGTTACACGGATCGACCACGCATGCGCTTCTCGCTGGCACATAAGGCATGCCAAAGGCCACGAGGAGGAGGAGGAGGAGGAGGAGGAGGGGGGGCAGGATAAAGGAGGGAGCAAGAGGGCGGCGCTGGAGCCGCTCGCTGGGCGCACCGACGCCCTGACGCGTCAGGCAGGGACGCACCTGGGGATCGGGGGGAAGCAGATGACGTGGCTGTCGGCACAGTCGGCGCAGACAGAACAGTCCCCGAGGGGAACGAATTCGCAGGCGGCGCTGGCCTCACACACGATCTGGTGGCCGCTGTTGCCGCAGCAAGCCGAGCCAGGGCTGCCCACCACGGAGCCGTGGTCGGTCGAGCAGGTCGGCGAAGGCAGCGCGTCGCAGCGAGGCGCCGCGGTCGAGTCGTTGCACGACTCGCCGAGACCACAGACCACCTGCTGCCCTGGTGCGCCACAGCAGGAGTCTCCTACCTCTGCAAGAGGCAGATGCTGGTTGTCCAAACCGAGACACGACGCTGGCGTGGGCGCTGGTGCTGGCGTGGGCACCAACGCTGGCTCTGCCGTCGGCTCATGCACGGGTGCCGGCGTGGAGGGTCCCGAACTCGCTGGCGTGGGCGCCAGCGCCGGCTCCGCCGTCGGCTCCGACACGGGCGCTGGCGTCGAGGGTCCCGAGCTCGTCGAATACGCCGCTCCAGTGGTGGATGGCGTGGGCGCCAGCGCCGGCTCCGCCGTCGGCTCCGATACGGGCGCCGGCGTGGAGGGACCCGAGCTCGTCGAATACGCCGCCCCAGTGGTGGACGGCGTGGGCGCCAGCGCCGGCTCCGCCGTCGGCTCCGACACGGGCGCCGGCGTGAAGGGTCCCGAGCTCGTCGAATACGCCGCTCCAGTGGTGGACGGCGTGGGCGCCAGCGCCGGCTCCGCCGTCGGCTCCGACACGGGCGCCGGCGTGGAGGGACCCGAGCTCGTCGAATACGCCGCCCCAATGGTGGACGGCGTGGGCGCCAGCGCCGGCTCCGCCGTCGGCTCCGACACGGGCGCCGGCGTGGAGGGTCCCGAGCTCGTCGAATACGGCGCTCCAGTGGTGGATGGCGTGGGCGCCAGCGCCGGCTCCGCCGTCGGCTCCGACACTGGCGCCGGCGTGGAGGGTCCCGAGCTCGTCGAATACGCCTCCCCAGTGGTGGACGGCGTGGGCGCCAGCGCCGGCTCCGCCGTCGGCTCCGACACGGGCGCCAGCGTGGAGGGTCCCGAGCTCGTCGAATACGCCGCCCCAGTGGTGGATGGCGTGGGCGCCAGCGCTGGCTCCGCCGTCGGCTCCGACACGGGCGCCGGCGTCGAGGGTCCCGAGCTCGTCGAATACGCCGCCCCAGTGGTGGACGGCGTGGGCGCCAGCGCCGGCTCCGCCGTCGGCTCCGACACGGGCGCCGGCGTGGAGGGTCTCGTGCTCGTCGAATATACCGCCCCAGTGGTGGACGGCGTGGGCGCCAGCGCCGGCTCCGCCGTCGGCTCCGACACGGGCGCTGGCGTCGAGGGTCCCGAGCTCGTCGAATACGCCGCTCCAGTGGTGGATGGCGTGGGCGCCAGCGCCGGCTCCGCCGTCGGCTCCGACACGGGCGCCAGCGTGGAGGGACCCGAGCTCGTCGAATACGCCGCTCCAGTGGTGGATGGCGTGGGCGCCAGCGCCGGCTCCGCCGTCGGCTCCGACACGGGCGCCGGCGTGGAGGGTCCCGAGCTCGTCGAATACGCCGCTCCCGTGGTGGATAATGACGATTCGGAAGGAGCGGAGGGCGTCGATGTCGACGCTGGGACGTCGTCGCTGGTGGTCGAGACGGCGTCCGGTGGCGGCCCAGGAGGAGTAACCGGACCGCTCCAGCCACCCGTCGAGGGGGCTGGCGGCCCAGAAGCAGAAGGGTCGCTTGAGCCACCTGCCGAGGGGGCCGCCGCCGAGACTGCCCCCGCTGGTGAATCGGGAGCGTCTACCCCCGCCTCTGCGCCCAGCGCTGTCAGCTGCGGGCTGGGTCGTTGAGGCGGCTCCTGGTGGCGGCTCGAGGCGGCCGCGGTCGAGGCGGCACCCGGCGGCGGCTCGGGAGCGCTGGCCCAAACACCGGAATCCGAGGCCGAGGGCGGAGTGGCGGCCGCTGACAGCCCGGGCAAGCAGGGCCCTGTCGCGGGGACTCCACCGCCTCGCCCAGGCCGCGCCAGGAACCCGGCAGCCGCGCCGGGCTGCTCGGCGCTGGCCGCCAGCGGCCACGCGGCCAGCGCGAGCGCGGCCCAGAGCATTTCGCTGCGGGTGGTCGGCGCTGGCGCAGATGGGAGCGCCACAAGGCGGGCTTGAGCCACAGTGGCTGCGGACCAATGATGCTTCCATAGGCTTCCAGATCTAGGCCACCGACGGGGGGGGGGTACCTTCAGGACCTCCTCTTTGTAAGCCATGGGCCCAAGCACGCGATACGTCTAAGGCAACAGGCAACAAAAGACACGTCCAGGGCCGCAGGCAATCAGTGACACACGAGGGCTGAGAGCAACCAGTGACCCATCGGGAAAATAGGCAGCCGACGACACGTCAAGCAGGAAGCCTGGCGATCGTTTCTGGATGGGCTGGTCGGGATACTTTTTTTGTTCTGCGGCCCGCAAGGAAAAGTCCAGAGGGCATGTTCTGGTCGGGATACGCGAATCGTCAGAAATTTCGGTTCTGCGCAACCGCACTCTCGCGCGAAATACGTGTGGCTTGAGAGACAGCGCGCGCGGATGTATGTGCGCCAATGTAACGCGCTGTATTTGAAATTGTGGTCATCTGTTGTTCGTAGTTCCTGTCGTAATTGCAACATAGCGTTGGTTCGTACTCAGAACGTCGTCAGATCGTAAACTTGCACATCCATTGGGTTGGCGCCATCTAGCAGAACACAAATTCCCTAACTCCTGCGGTCTGCCGTGCTCTGATGGTCTGCCGTGGTCCTGTGCGGTCTGCCGTGCTCCTGTTTGGTTTGTCGAGCTCTCATGTTTTGAGGATGTCCCTAGCGAGATCGTCATTGTCGGCAGTCTCCAAGGCGCTCTTGGAGCCATCTTGGGGTCCTGTTTAAGCTCAATTTTCCTCGCCTTGAAGCTCTTCGGCTAATGTATCAAAGCGATGTTGGGACTATGCCAATTTTGTGCGGATGCCCCCAGCGACATGGCCACTTTTAGAAATGACGTCAAAAATACAGCTAGCTTGTTCTGCCGTGCTCCTCCCAATGTTCGGAGGATGTCTCGAAGGTGAACGTCGTTTTCAACATAACAGGTGGTAGTAAACCAACCCTGCCGACATGTATTTTCGTATTTTCGGTGAGGATGTCTCAAGTGAAACGCTCATTTTCGAAACTATGGAACATTCGCGGCTTCTCAGATCGGGACAAGGTCTCAGGCGAACCGCTGTTTTTTGCAAACGCCGATGCTGGTAACCTCTTAATTTGGTGAGGACGTCCCTAGCGAAAACGTCATCGTCGGTCGTCTTGAGTGCGCTTGTTGGGTCATGTTGGGCTTCGTGTTGGGCTCTTTGAGGCCGTCTTGACGCCCTCAAGACTCAGTACAATATGATGCTGGACACATACGACTTTGCAATGTTTAGAAGGCTGGTTTGGGCCGTCGTGGCGCCTTTGCGATAGTGATTCCAAACCAATGCCGTAACACATTATGTTTCAAGACGACGATCTCGTGCTTGGCATTTGTTTGAGGATGTCCCTGGCGACATCGTCATGTTCGGCAGTCTTCAGGGCGCGGTTGAGGCCATCCTGTGGTCCATTTGGGCTCTTCTTCCTTCGTCTTGAAAACAGTTCGGTAACGATATCACGGCGATGTTGGGATCATGCCAAGCTTGGAAGGATGTCCCTGGCGGCATGGCCACTTTTAGAAAAATGACGTCAAATATGCAACTAGCGTGTTCTGTCGTGTTCCTCCCGATGTTCGGAAGATGTCTCGAACGAGAGCCTCGTGTTCAACATAAGGGGTAGTAAGCCACCTTCGCCGACATGCTGTTTTTTTGTGCTAGGATGTCTCAAGCGAAACGCTCATGCTCGAAAATATGAACATGTCACGATGTCGCGAAACGCTTATTTTGTTACGAGCGATGTCGCGAGGCTGCCATTTTTTGTGAGGATGCCTCAAGAGATATCGCTACGCCGGGGAATCAGCTAAGCCAATCCCCCGTGGAATCCCGAACGGTATGGTAAGAACGTGTCTTTACACATCGATTAGACATGTTACAGACTCAGCCAGAATCTCCAGCTTGCTTCTCGCTCCTCGAAGACGCTTCCCGCCATCCTTGGGAATCCGCCAGGTCTTGGCTCACGGGGCAATCCTGAGCCCTTCCCCGCCTAAACCCCCCTGGCTGCACATGTCTTCTCTTACTTTACAATCCCAAGTCGATACCAACGTCCATCGCGCGACTCTCGTAATCTAAGCGCGCTTCCCGACATCCGACCAATGGCGGATCTCAAGTGGATCCCGCGCGTTTCCCCTCCCCTACCTGCCCAATTGATGAAAGATCCCCCTGGGCACACAGACGTCCATCGCGCGACTCTTCGAGTCTAAGCGTGCTTCCCGTCATCCGACCAGCCACGAATCAGGGAGCGATCCCGAACCATTCCCCCCACCCAGCTGATAGAAAATCCCTCTGGGCACAAAGACGTCCATCGCGCGACTCTTCGAGTCTTTGCGCGCTTCCCATCATCCGACAAGTCGCGAATCTCGGTCGAATCTCGCGCGTTTCCCCTCATGCACCTCCCCAGTTGATAAAAAACCCTCTGGGCACAAAGACGTCCATCGCGCGACTCTTCGAGCCTAAGCGCGCTTCCCGTCGTCCGACCAATCACCGATCAGGGTCCGACCCCGAACCATTCCCTTCCTGGACCCCCCAATTGATCAAAATCCCTCTGGGCACAAAGACATCCCTCGCGCGACTCGTCGAATCTAAGCGCGATTCGCGTCATCCGATGGCTACCGATCTCGAGTGCATCCCGCGCGTTCCCCCTTCTGGACCTCCTCAAATTATAAAAGATCCCTCTGGTTATTCGACGCGCGCTTCCTGTCATCCGACCAATCACGAACGTCGAGTGCATGCCGCGCGGTCCCCTCCTGGACATCCCCAATTGATAAAACAAATCCCTCTGGGCTGCAGACGTCCATTGCCCGACTCTCTGAATCTAAGCGCGCTTCCCGTCATCCGACCAGTCGCGAACGTGGGTCCAAACTGGCATCATTTCTCTCCTGCACCTCTCCACATGCTAAACGATCCCTGTGGGCACACAAAATTTGATCGCGCGACTCTTTGAATCTAGGCGCGACTCCCGTCATCCGCCAGGCGCCGATCAAGGAACGACAAAATGCCCCCCCCCCCCCCCTCCGGACTCCCCCCAGTCAGTTGATAGGTATTTCGGCCCAGGAGGGTCCCAGGACGGCCCCAAAGGGAGGCCCAGAGGGGAAACCCGAATGGACATTTCGAGCACTCAGCCTTGAAAAAACCGGAGGCGCCAAGAGGCCCCCAAGAGGCTCGCACGAGATGCCCCCGAGAGGCCCAAAAGAGGCCCCTAGAGGCCTCAACACGGCTCCCAAAAGGCCTCAAAATGCTACCAGGAGAGCTCAGAAACCCAAGCAGAGCCGCGATCCGCTAACCGCCCCCGACGAACACCCAAACAGCTGAAACCCCAAGATTCCCCAGAAATCGCGCGCGTTCCGCAAACTCCGATGTTCACTCTTACTGCCGCCCCAAGGGTTGGGCGGTGCGGCGTCAGCCAATGAATCGATTGATAAAGATTCCCCTCACGAGACGTAACCAACGTCCATCGCGCGACTCTTCGAATCTGATGCGCGCTTCCCGTCAACGGCTAAACCAGTTCGGCGTGCGATCCGCCATGGTGTAATACAACGAGTTGGGCAGTATGTTACAATTTCAGCCAGAACGTCCAGCTCGCTTCCGTTCCTCGAAGACGCTTCCCGTCAACCATGTGTTGTTCAAACATGTCGCTTCTTGGGGCATCTTGGAGGTCATCCAAAAGCGCTGCAAAAAGATGTCTCAAACAAACTCTTGGCGCATGTCTTTTTGTTCGAGGATGTCTCAGGCGAAAGGTCGGAAGGTTAGGCCAGCGATTTCAACATCTCCAGTTTCCGAGACTGTCTCGGGCGAAACGCGCATTATCAGCATAAGGCGCCTTAAGATACGACCCCAAATATCGCTGTCTCAGGCGGAGCGCCTATTCTGAAGAACCTTTCTTGACATGCACGAGTTGCGCAAGAACGTACACTGTGTCACAACGTTCAAATCTACTGTAGCCCAGACCTCAAAACGCTCAAAAGGGATACTTCTGGGCAAGCGCTCCCCGAACGTCCACCAGCATGTTGCTGAGTTTCCCCTCGCTGAGTTATATCCTCCGATTTCCTCAGCCTCCCCCCTCGCTTTAATCATTATCATCTGTATCGTCAGAAGCGTCATCGCGATCAATTGCATTGTAGCCGAGCTCTCCGAACGTCCACACGGAATACGAATTGGCACGCGTTTCAGCTTTCGCGGTCCTGCGTTGAACTCGGGCAGGCGGCGAATTGCACCTGACGTTACAAAGGACCTGGGCAGCAACATCAGCATCAACGTCATCAGCATAACCATCATCATCATCATCATCATCATCATCAGCATCATCATCATCATCATCATCATAATCATAATAAGCATCATCATCATCGTCATCATCATCAGCATCAGCATCATCATCCTCAGCTTCAGCACCATCACCATCATCAGGGTCATCTTCATCAGCAGTATCGTCATCATAATCATCACCATCATCATCACCACCATCGTCATCATCATCGTAATCATCTTCATCATCGTAATCATCATCATCATCATCATCATCGTCATCAACATCATCACCAGCAACATCATCATAATCATCAGCATCATCATAATCAGCAGCATCGTAATCAGCATAATCATCATCAGCAGCATCCCAACATCATCGTCATCGGCATGTTCGTCGTGATAAGCTGTGTTGCTGAAGCCCCGTTCGAAGGCATCTTTAGGTGGTGTCTCGGGCGAAACCGTCACTTTGAAACACAAGTGTTGAACACCGGTTGGGTTTTTCATGATCATCGCTTCTTGAGGAGGAAGAGGAGGAGATCACCCGCAGGGTAAGATCACGGAGCAATCCCGAGCCCTTCCGAACTCAGGATCCCCGAAGAGACCCCAGACGGTCTAAGAAGGAGTCAAGAACGCCCTGATGCACCCCCAGACGGCCCCAAGCCACGCAAAATCGGCTCCCAGTCCCTAGAGGACCCAATGCAGGCTCAGATTTAGGTCGGGCCTG